CCAGGGGGATGCGCGGGGCCGGCGGGGGCAAGAGCTGCGTTCCCGTTCTGGCAGCGAGGGCGAGGCAGGAGCTGGGTCAGTGTTGTCCTGGGTGTCCCATGGGAACGGGGATGGGCTCTGCCCCAGGGACGCGAGGCCCACCGGGCCACGGCTTGGCATGCATGGCCGGTCAGCCCCACCCAGCACCGTCTCTGCCCCCTGAGAAGGGTCTGGGCTCCGAAACCTGCTGTCCCTATGCAATGGTTTGTCCCCAGGGAAGGTTGGAGGGAGGTCACTGCTGGCCCTGGGGCACCGCGACCACCCCGCAGGTGCCAGGAAGGATGGTACAGCCAGTCCCAACTACAGCATCCCAGCATGTCCCCTTGGACCCGGGCTTCACCACAGCCCTCATGCGCATCCCATCCTTTGCCGGCCCCGGCTGGGCATCATGGCCCCAAGCTGGCCATCATTTGGGGTTGGTACCCCCAGCCACCCACTTCCCTCCCCGCTGGCCCTGGGATACAGCCGAGGAGGGGATGGGGATGGAGGCTGTGTTCACCTGGGGCTGAGCCAGGTCTCCCGAGCGGGTCCCCATCTTCCAGCGACGCGGTCCCGGCGGGGATGTCGCCGCACAGGGGGTTTTATGGCCGTGGGAAGGACTTTAGTCACCACCCGGGCTGTGGCGCGGGGCGGCAGGCTGGAAGGCAGCCATTGGCTGCCGGTTGTGAAACCAGGGAGCACTGTCTTGGGGACAGATCAGCTATTAACTCCTTTAATTAGGGCTGGCACCGCTGGCGGGGCTGGGGCGCTCCCGCTCTGAGCACGCTATTGGTAAAACATTAGAGCCGGCGGGTTACAGAGTAATTCCCGGCTCACAGGGGGTCTGGTGGTGCGGGGCACCAGCTGCCACCGGCATCATCCCGGCACGGCCGGGCTGGGCATCAGGGCACAGTCGGGATGCTGGTGATGGGCAACGCTGGGAAGGCACCCACCTCCCAGCGTGTGACGGCTCTCGCTGGGGACGAAGTTGGCTCCGAAGGTCGCTGGGCATTAAGCATTAACTGCACCGGGGCTACAGCTCATTCTGCATCGCCTTGGGTGGGGCTGGCCCCTGAGCCTTGCCGCTGGCGCAGGCCCCCTTCTCCCCATGGCAGAGCAGCTCCCGCAGGGCGGCCCGGCCCTGCCGATGTGCCCTGTAGATCTGCGCCTCTCCCTGCTCGCCCACGTAGCCGTGGCACATCTTGGACAGCCTGCAAGGAGCCGGAGAGGGTCACGCCACGTCCCCCTGCCATGGTGGCAAGGGGACGGTGCCCGGCACCCCCTCCGATTGCCAACCTCCCTGACTTACCTGCCTGGCCAGGGTCCCCCCATCACCATCACGCTCATGGGCTCCTGCCTCGGCAGCCCTGGCCCCGCCAGCCGCTTCTCCCCATCCAGCTCCTGCACCCCGTAGCTGCAGGGAGAGGCAGGGGTTGGGGACACCCTGGTCCCTGGGGACACCCACCTCCCCGGGGATACCCTGCTCACCTCTCCCAGCCCTGTGAGCAGCTCCTCTCCAGCACCTCCACGTAGTCAGGCTCGCTCAGCGCCTTCTTGCCCACCTTCCCCTCTGCCCTGCGCAGCTGCTCCTCAATCTCAGGTGAAAAAAGGCAGAAATCAGCTAGTGACGGTGGCAGCCTCCCCATGACCCTGATCCCAAGCGGGGATGGGCTCTGCACCCCTCTCCTTGCAGCCCTAGCAGCTGAAACACTTTTGCCACGGGGTGGTGGGTCCATGAGTAGGTGCAAGGGGGCTTGCTGGCCCCAAAGGGCCTTTTTGGGGAGACAGCCATCAGTGGGGTGCCCCAGGGGA